GCCACAGGCTGGCACTTCCAGCTTTGGGGTTCTGTTGGGCGTTGACACGACCCCAAGCACTGCAACTGGTGATGATTTTGGACAGGGCGCATCAAGCGCACAAGTTCTCCCAAATCGGCGCCGGGCCAAATAAGCCATCAGACCATGCTCTTTGAAGTAGCCGAAGAGCTGGCATGAATGCCTGGCACTGCCAAAGTTCGGCGCACGGCCACACGGGTCAGCGCAAATGGGGTGCGCATGACGAAGAATGCGTGGTCATGACACACCCGGCACCAACAAAGCAGGCCGATTGCTGTGACAATATGCGCACTGCAGCAGGGTCCTGCCCCCAAGCAAATTACGTTGTTTTCGTTTGCAAGACCCCGCCTCCCAATTGAAAAGGCAAAACATTGCCATACGTCCACTCCCTTCTCTTGCAAAAAAAGTAAGCATTGCCGGCATATCCGAAATGCGCATACGTATCGTATAGATATATATATATATACATATTTTATTATTTATATATATATATATCGTCACCCCCATGATCCACACCTAGAAAAGTGGTATGCAATAAAACCCTGTAAATTACAGCGTTTTCTCAAGCTTCTGTTTTTGCTTAGGCTCATCAGACTCTCATCAGATTTCGAAGAAGGCAACATGGATGTCGCAGTGTCTCAGAAAGCGGACGCTTTGCCCATGGCCAAGATTCCAGGTAGGTTCCGAGGATAAGAATGACTGTGTCTTTGTTGGGCAGCGACTCCGCTGATGTACCTGCTTCTTGCATTTCGTCCTCGTCATCTTCAGGCACAGGTGGAAGTGAAGGTTGTTTTGTTTAGGTGGAGGTACGACAACTGTCGGCCGATTAGGACGCTTTGAAACATCACCCCCCAGCCGGTTGAGCCGACTGGTCGAGGAAATTGGCTGAGTAGCCGGCTGCGGTTGCGGTTGTCGTGGTACTATAGCTGGTGCGTCTGGGTGCGTTGTTCTGACGACATTTGCGCGTTGTCAGAGGAAGAATTACACCCTGTAAAAAATGTTTGAGTGTGCCGCATGTAAAAAAAGCATTAGAGAAGACTTATATAAAAGTCATCTAAAATCATTTATGCATAGACAAATGAAAAAAATGATGTAGAAACATTGTGTTGGTATGTTCTTTTGATTTTTGGGAGATGAAAAGAACATAGCGCCATCGTTGGCTGCCTTCTCTGTGTGAGCACCAGTATCCAGCAAGCACTGCACAACTGCCCGATGGCGCTGATGTGCAGCACAATGTGTGGCATCGGCGCAACAGGTGTGGGTGGGGGGTCTGGTCTGGGCGGCTGCGGTGCTTGTGGCGTGCTGATCAGGTTGATGCGGCGGACCAGTGGATTGTTGCCACCGTCACCTCCGCGGTCGCCTTCATGGTCGATTAGCATGGGCCTGATCGTTGGTGCTTCCTTGAATGACACGCGGCTCTGTGAGAACTAGCGCGTGCCACTGTGTTGGGCTAATCACATCTATGCGCTGGGAAAACCCAGAGCTTACCGGGCACGCTGACTTGCCATCAGAACAAGCCAGCGTCAGGCGGTGTTGTCAACGGGTAGTTGACGCCGATGGTGCGGTTTACCTGACACACTTGTTGTAAAGTGTGTGAGGTATACAAAGATACCTCAATCTTCTTGCGCCATCATGAACCATAGAAATTGGTTTGGAATTGCAACCATAGAGCTGCGACCTAAATCATAGAAAGTGCCTGATAGAGCTGCAACCTAAATGACAGAACTGCTTTATAGAATTGCAACCTACATCGTCGAAAAAACCATAGAAAGTGTTTCATAGAGTTGCAACCTAAGTCACGGAAAGGTCTACATAGCACTGCAACCCAAAAACGGTAGGTGTTTTGTAGAACTGCAACCTAAACCATAGAAATCGTTTTTTGAGGCTGCAACCTACATAGGACTGCACCCTAAACAGCAGAAAGTGTTGCGTAGATCTGCAACAGCAACCATAGCTGCAACCTAAATCGTAGAAAGTGTTTTACAGAGCTGCAAGAAAAGGTCTTTATGGAGCATCCTGAATCGTAGAACGTGTTTTGTAGAACTGCAACCCGAGTCATAAAAATTGTTTCATAAAGTTGCAACCTAAAGAGTGGAAAGGTCTTCGTAGAGTTGCAGCCCAAGTTGTAACACATTTTTTAGCGCTACCTAAACCATAGAGTGCTTCATAAAAGTGCAGCGTAAGCGATAGGAAAGTGCTTCGCACGACTGCAACCTCAATCATAGACATTGCTTTATAGAACTGCACCATACAAAATGCTTCGTGCGACACAATCATAGAAGTGTCTTATATACAGAACTGCAACCTAAACCGTAAAAATTGTTTTATAGAGTTGCAACCTAAAGCGTACAAAGTTCTTCAAAGAACTGAAGCCTAAATCATAGAAAGGTCTTGACCGAATTGCAACCTGAACCAGGGAAAGTGTTGTATAGAACTGCAACCCAAGAAAGTTCGCGAAAACCTAGCTGAGGAGCAGAGGCTAGGTTTTTAGGTAACTTAGAACCACATACTGGAAGAGCAAAAAGCGCCGAGAGAAAACACCTAGTCTCCTAGTCTCAGGACTCTTGGCCTGGCCCCAGCACCTAGGCTAAGTTTTGTAAGTTTTTAAGAACTTTCTGCTGCCCAGCTTGGTTTTTACGCACCCTCCCAGCACTGCGCGCTTGTAAGAGCAGAAAATGTTCCTAAGACAACAACACTACCGGGCCAGCCCAAGAGTCCTGAGACTAGGTTTTTGATTTTTATCCGGCACCCTCGCAGCATTTTCTGCTCGCCAGCTGGCAAAGAGGCAGCATTTTGTGCCTGTAGAGCCGAAAGTGTCGAGAGGGTACCTTCCACGACAAGATCATCAACATGCAAGGACATGACACCGTGGGCCTGTTTACCTTAAGCATTGTTGCCTGAAACTGGATTAACGCGACCAATGGCTCTTTCCAAGTTGAACCCGCTAGGATGGATGTCACTGGTCTGTTTGGTTGACTTAGTGATCCTCTCGCCATAGTACACATAGGCACAGCAATCTGCAGGACCTTGTTTCTGAACCTAGAATGTTCCACCATCACCTTGAGCCCGTGAGCTGGGTGGCAGATTATGCCCCGGGTACTGTCATAGGCTGCAGGAAACCGTCTTCAAGCCCGCGTGGAATATGTTCCACCCTTTGTTTGCCGCCACCTGAACTGCTAACCTGAATCCGCTTCTTGAAGCTGCTGGGCTTTCTGTTTGTTTTTCATTCTTTTGACGATCTCGGAAACCTCGAAGCGCCCAACGTGCTTTGGTCTTGAGGAAGTTGCCTTCCTTGAATCTTTTGATGGTTAAGGCCCGTCTTCCGGCTGCCCGGTTTCTGACTTGGAGACTGATGGTTTGGCTTCTCGTGGGCTGTCTTTGTTCTTCTTGTGTGTCTTTCATTAGTCTCCATACAGCGTGTTCCCCTAAGGTCTATAACAACTTGTGCTAAATTGAGTCAGCGTGCCACGTCCTCAACGATGACGACCGAGCGATGCTCAGACTGTAGACACAACAATTAATCGGCAAGAAACGTAAGGAAGCAACACAACAAGAGATCCGAGCATATACAAAACACTTCCTTGAAGCGAAACAGCTGCAGTGCAAATCCTGGCAAGACAACGAACAGGAAAACCAGCATCATCGTCGAATGATCCTCCACCGCTTCCGATCTCCTCATTCGGACTTCACGAGGCATCCCGCCTTAAGATGGTCATGAAAAAGAGGAAGAATCCTTTGAGGAACTCCTGGCAGATGAGGAAGAACCGGACAGCCCAGAAAACCCGTCGTTACACCGGTACTAGATGCAGCACTCTGGACACAGTTCACACGTGTGCAGCAACACTGGATCATTCACTGTTCCAAGAGACATTGAGGCCAGACCCGCAATCCACAGCACGGGCATTATATCAATGTGCACCAGAATGTAGCCAGAGATGAACTCCAAGAAACTAGAGCAAGCGGGCAGAGCTGCGGGAGACTCCCAACCACAAGTGGGCGGTGGCGGCCCGGAACCTCTACAAGAGGCTGCAGGTTGGCGTGTGTGTGGCGCGCATGCAGTATGTATGTATGTATGTAATGTAGTGAGTGTATGTATGTATAAATGCATGGTTGTGTGTATGTAATGGCGCTATAATGAAATGTAATGTAATGTAATGTAAAGCAATGCAACGCAAAGCAACGCAATGCGATGCAATGTAATGTAGGTATGTACGCATGTATGTATGTATGTAAGTATGTACGCATGTATGTATGTATGTATGTATGTAAGTATGTATGTAATGTATGTATGTATGTATGTATGTATGTATGTATGTATGTATGTATGTATGTATGTATGTATGTATGTATGTATGTATGTATCAATGAATGAATGAATGAATGAATGAATGAATGAATGAATGAATGAATGAATGAATGAATGAATGAATGAATGAATGAATGAATGAATGAATGAATGAATGAATGAATGAACGAACGAACGAACGAATGAATGAATGAGTGTGTAAAGTATGTAATGTATGTATGTGTGCAAGCATATATGTATGTATGCATGCATGTATGTATGTAAATATGTGTGTACTGTAATGTAATGTAATGTACTGTACTTTGTGGTATGTGTGTATGTATGTAATGTAATGTAATGTCATGTAATGTAAGGCAATAAACATTACATTGCAATTACGCATGTGTTTATGTATGTAAGTACGTAATGTAATGTAATGTAATGCAATGCAATGCAATGCAATGAAATGAAATGAAATGAAATGAAATGAAATGAAAATGAAATGAAATGAAAATGAAATGAAATGAAATAAACTGAAATGAAATGAATGCAATGCAATGCAATGCAATGTATGTATGTATGTAGTTATGTATGTATGTATGTATGTATGTATGTATGTACTGTATGTAATGTATGTAATGTCTGCAATGTATGTATGTATGTATGCATGCATGTAGGTATGTGTGTATGTATTTATGTAAATGTATGTCTGCATGTGTAATGTACGTATGTATGCATGTGTGTATGTACTGTTTGTCAAAGGAAGCAATTGAAAGCTAGCTCTCTGAGACAAATGACAGAGAAGGAATCAGCCCGCGAGAAACATGCGAGCGCGTGTGGCAGGAGAAGAGAAAGTCGGACAAAGCGTGGCCCTGTGC